CTACTTGGGAGGCTGGGGCAGGCAGATTAATTGAGCCTAAGAGTTTGAAGTTGCCATGAGCTATAATGCCATGGCACTCTATTTAGGGTGACACAGTGAGATTGCTTTAAAAAAAATAACTACGCAGTTGTTAGGCTGTGAATTTCCAGTGGACTGGAAAGTTGGATCAGCAATACATGGCCACCTATCCTGGCCTTGAGAACGCTGCCTCAGTGGGTGGACTTCTCGTGCAGCCTGGATCAGTGCTCTTGCTGCTCCCTGGAGGTCGTTCTTGCCCGTTAGGAACCGGTTACCCTGACTCTTAATTCTTCCCTTTGGTCCTTTTCTGCCAGGGCCCAGCAAAGACTCTTCCACCCCAGCACTTTGCCTACAGGTCCCATGACCCCAGCCTGAGCCCCTGAGGCCAGGTGGATGAAGAGGTTTGGGGGAGGCTGTCTGCTGGGAGTTTTAAATAAGTGGCCCAGTTTCACTCTGGGGCATGAGGCTGCAAGTGCTCAGAGCTCCTAGCACGTGGCAAGGAGCTGAACTCATGAGTCCCTTCTCCCCCCAGGCTGGGTCCGGTATGCAGAGCGAGTGCTGGGCCGCCCTGTCACCCCCCATCTCTGTACTGCCAAGTCCCCACAGCAGGTCATGGGCTCTTTGGTGAAGGATTATTTCGCCCGACAGCAGGTAAGCCGAGCTTTTCCCGGAAATCAATGTGTGTCAGAAGACGGGCATCTGGTAGGCTGTGTAGGGTATAAGCAGGGCAATGAGCAAGGAGTGCCGCATCATGATGGGGTGAGGAGGGAGCTCCAGCACACATCCGGGATGGTCACTGTCTCCCAGGTGAATGTGAGGGAAGTGTGACTTTAGGACACGTCTGTAGTGACTTTCCTACCAGCATCCCACTCTATGCTTTTTTTCCTTTTATAAACTCCTTTCTCTTTAACCTTCTCTGTGGCATCTGGGGGTTCTCCTGGATCATTTGTGGCCAAGGAGAAAGACTGCCCACCCTGCTGAGAGATCCTGGCTTCGCCTACAGAGAGACTGCCCACCTGCTTCTCAGACATCTCACTGAGGGAGGCCCGGGGCCCTCGGCCTAGATGCTGAGGGCCACTGTTACTCAGGGACCTAACCTGGCCTCTGTTGGGCTCTCCCTCAGATTGTAGCATCTCATGACTTTCTCAGCTGCTTCTGTGGGGTTCTCCTGCACTCTGTCCTCCACTTGATGGAAGGGGTCCTGGCCTGGGACTTCTGTGTGGCCCCTGCCTCAGCCCATCGCAGGGCCTGCCCATTGCCTTTAACCTTCTGAGTCCTCCTGGAACTCTCTGGTGCTCTGGAAGCGGTCCTCGTCCTACAATTTGTTCTTTAGCTGCTGGCGTGTGCCACCCACCCTTCTCCATCTGTCTTTAAGCCCCTTCAGGGGACAACTGAGTTGGGAACTTGAAAAGACTGCAGAAATTCAGGATCTTTCAAACACCCAAAGCCAGCCTAGTGAGGTACATGTGCACAGCATTGTTGTTTTAGCAATAGGGAATGTTTTCTTTCTGCTTAGTTTGCTCATAAAATCACTACAGTTGGCACATTATAAACCTGAAGTTAAGTCATGTGTATTCAGTATAGACAGGACAGAAAGACAAGCTGTGAGACTTTGCATCTCCTCCTTGCCTGTGCACCTTGCCTTTGCACCTTCTCCTGCATGTGTTGGGAGAAACCCTGTGTCTCAGTCTCTCAATACCACCAGCCCTCTCCTGGCTCAAGCCAAAAGCGGATAAACCAGGTATGCGGCAGTGGCTCTGCTCTGGGCCGTCTTGCCTGTGTACAAGGTTCAGGAGGTAACAGGGTCAACTTTCCCAGTTCTTTCAGGAAGGCTGCATGGGCTCCTGGGCCTTGCGTGTGGGTCAGGCTCTATCCAGATGGTGGTTCAGACATGCGTGGGCTGGGTGCTGTTGTGTGGTGGAGCTGAGGAGGACAGGAGTCAGCTATGGCTGTGGGAGCTCAGCTGGGGGTGGTGGGAAGTGGCAGCAAGTGGCCGTGTACTTCCCTCTTGCTGTGTACACCAACTATGAGCTGTGATGCTCACCTCTCCACAGCCTTAAATGCAGGTGCCTTTCCTCCACAGAGCCTGTCTCCAGAGAAGATTTTCCATGTCATTGTGGCCCCTTGCTATGACCGGAAGCTGGAAGCTCTTCGAGAAGGTTTTTCCTCCACTTCACGTAGTTCCCTGGGTGCTGACTGTGTGTTAACGTCAGGTGAGATGTGAGATGAGAGTGGGCTGAGGCTGTACCACTAATCTATCGGTGCCTTTCACTGTGGTCACCATGATCACTGTCTGAAGTCACCACTGGGCATCCTTGGGGCTTAATTGCATAGAAGTGAAGAGAAGATCAGAGTTCAGTCCAGTGTCCTGTCTCCTCTCTGCATCTTCCTCCTGGTAAGTTGGGTCTTGGGAGAACCCCTCAGGCACCATGACCTGTCTTTTGACCTCACTGTCCTCTTAGTGGTGGGAGAAGTTGTGTGTAGCCACAGATGGTGTCCTCCCAACAGTTCTTCAGATGTTAAGAGACTGTGTTGGTCCTGTGTGTGCCGAGGATGGGGGCTTAACACTTGGTTAAAGTTCTGTGGGATCTATTCTAACTGGGCTCTAAAAGCAGGTTCCTCTGGGTCTTGGATCAGTGGTAGCTTATGCAGAGTGACTCCCAGGGGCAGCCTTTAAGCCCTCTGACTCCCTTCATGGGCCCCCCAAGAGGTCTCTGCCATACATGAGCAGGCTCCCTAGGTGGTGTGGCAAGAGAGATGATGGAAAGGGTGCCCTTGGCAGTGCTGTCCTTCATTGCTGCTCACGTGACAACTACACCCAGCCATCTTTCCCTGAGTGTGGGTTCATAGTCATAAAGTCTGTTCTCACCAGCTGTCTTGTGCATCTGATGCCACAGCAATTAAGACCCTCAACTGTTTGTGTTAAGGGATTTTTCCAAAAACCCTTGATAAAAAGGAATACAGAAAGTAGTTCTGCTTTTCATTTGATATTATTGCAAAATAACCCACATGTCATACAAATGCAGTCAGTGTATTTTTGGTCATCCCATTCGTGTGAACTAATGTTATACACAGAAGTTTTCCCCTTGGGGCCGCACCTGTGGCTCAGTGAGTAGGGCGCCAACCCCATATACCGAGGGTTGTGGGTTCAGTCCTGGCCCTGGCCAAACTGCAACAACAACAAAAAAATAGGCGGTGTTGTGGCAGGCGCCTGTAGTCCCAGCTACTCAGGAGGCTGAGGC